TCTCTTTCTAGTCCCTGTCAGGACTCTTGCTGCAGCATTTTGGATCAGCTGAAGGCTTTTCAGGGAGTTTTTAGGACTTCCTGATAATAACGAATTACAGTCGTCCAGCCTGGAAGTAATAAATGCATGAACTAGTTTTTCAGCGTCACCTCTGCTTATCGCTGACTCATATTTTTCACCCGTGCCGTGTCTTCAGAGGGTTACGCCGACTCCAACAGCGGCGAGTCGGACTCAGACGTGTCAGATGTGCCGGAGCTCGACTCGGACATCGAACAGGAAGCTCAGACCAGCTACGAACGTCAGGTGACTGGGACACAAACGCTCCCACCTGCAGTCAAAAAGCCGTCTGACTCACCTGTCTCTGTCTGCAGGTGTATAAGGAGGACCTGCCACAACTCAAGAAGAAGCTGATTGGTTCCCTGAAGCGGCAAAAAGCTCCAGAGGAGGGGCTTCGTCTGCAGTTTGTTCACGGGTAAACTATCCACATCAGACATGGATCTGGTCTCGTGAGTAAATAATGTAAATAAACCTCCGTTTGTGCTGCTTCCTGTTTGCTGCAGGTACCGGGGCTTCGACTGCCGTAACAACCTGTTCTACAGTCAGGCGGGAGAGGTGGTGTACCACGTGGCCGCCGTCGCTGTCGTCTACAACCGGCTGCAGCACAGCCAGAGGTTTTACCTCGGGCACGACGATGACATCCTCAGCCTCGCCGTCCACCCGCTCAAAGACTACGTGGCCTCGGCACAGGTATGCCCGGCCGATCGCAGCACGTCGCGTTTCCGAGACGGTTTCTGATTGGCTGTTCCTGTGTACAGGTGGGCAGAGACCCAGCCATACATGTGTGGGACATCCAGACCCTGAAGTGTCTGTCGCTGCTCAAAGGACACCACAGCAGGGGCGTGTGTGCTCTGGAGTTCACAGGTAAGCTGACTGCACGCCGTGCCATCGGGCATCAATATTTCTATCCCTAAGCCCTCACCTGTTATCGCTAACTCAGTGGGTTAGCTCAAGTAGAAACAGCTGTTGTTCCCAATCCTTCCTTCACACTGCTTTCTGACGTAACTCCTCTCTTGGTACTTCTCAGCCGATGGGAAGAGTTTGATCTCAGTGGGATTCGATGAATTTCACTCCATCATCATCTGGGACTGGAAGAAAGGAGAAAGACTAGCCAAGGCCAGGTAAACACACCTGGATTAAGTCAGCTAGTCCTGCCGTAAGATGGTCGTGCTTTTGTAAACTCACAGTTTCTCGCAGTGGTTGCCGAGGGAAATGTTTGCGTCTCGTTTCACGTGTTTGAGCCGATCGGCTGAAAGCTCGTGTGTCTGCAGGGGTCATAAAGACAAGATCTTCGTGGTGAAGAGCAATCCTTTCAGGATGGACAAACTGGTGACCGTGGGCATGAAACACATCAAGTTCTGGCAACATTCAGGTAGGCGTCGTTTCCTCTTTACCTGGAACTCACCTGACACGCTCAGCTCAACGAGGTAGGTGGGGTCACATGGGGCTGTCCCACATGTAGGGCTGCCACGATTAGTCGACTAGTCACGATTACGTCGACTATCAAAATC